GAGTTTTAAAAGACTTTCCATTCCCAGAGCCTAAGTGTGGGCCTGGAACTCGGCCCAGGGAAGACTCAGACTTAAGTGAGGTTCACGTAAATCTCCTCAGCACACCACAATCCCTGGGTTCCTAACCAAACCCTGTGATAATCTCAGTATCAAGTCTCAGGACAGAACAACTCTAAAACAAAACCACTCTAGCTTAACTCAAGGTTTTCATGGCTAATCTCACACAGACGTAATCACAGAATCAAACAGAACCCAAGAGATTTGGGAAACAATGGTTTGCTACTTGTTGTTCTGTTTAAAAGACCTGACAATGCATTCTGATATTCCTCCTGAAAGATGAAGCTCTAAGTTATCAATTATATGTAACTTATTAATTAACGGGAACCTTTATATCAGACTGAAACAATATTCAAGTGTCCAGAGCGCATTACCAACATTCCAGTGTCTCCCCATTCCCTAATACCTAGCCTTCCTAATCTTTTCTGAACCTCATCTAATTTACAACTGAGTAACATTTTATTTTCACAAGAGGGTACAGTGTGTCTTTTGCTGTTGTCCTGCCCCCACCTCTCCAAGCAAATACTTTACCATGGAAGAACTTAAAAAGAAAAAAAAAACTTTTAAATAGCCATTAGTGAGTAATATGATACCTCCTCCCTGGCAAGGGTGCTGTTTTATAGAATATAGTCTCGGAAGGGAAGTTAAGAATTGGGAGGAAAAGGGGTCGGGAGAGTACATGAAAAACCTGTATTTGGCCAGTAAAGCAAGAGTTGCCAGGACACTCAGAAATTAAAAGATCTAAGAGGAGAGGAAAATTAAAAATATACCAGAGACAGCTGCTCCTCTCTGGAAAGAAAGATGGCGGCCGCACGGGAGCCTTGTGGAAAGCGGGTTTGAGCCGGGCTCGGGGGAGCGGCGGGGACCTCATGGGAAGGGGGGCTTTGTGGGCCGTCCCCCACGCCCCACCAAGGTCGCCAGCTGCCCCCCACGAGCGGCTCTCCGGCACGGCCACGGCCCCGGAGGCACAAGGACTTAGCACAGAGAACCAGCCGCTTGGAGCAGAAAAGCAAATGGACTTGTGTTGATCCGCGCCACCAAGCCTGCCCGGAGGGGGAAGGGCGTTGACCAGCCCGCCTGCTCCTCTCTGGAAAGAAAGATGGCGGCCGCACGGGAGCCTTGTGGAAAGCGGGTTTGAGCCGGGCTCGGGGGAGCGGCGGGGACCTCATGGGAAGGGGGGCTTTGTGGGCCGTCCCCCACGCCCCACCAAGGTCGCCAGCTGCCCCCCACGAGCGGCTCTCCGGCACGGCCACGGCCCCGGAGGCACAAGGACTTAGCACAGAGAACCAGCCGCTTGGAGCAGAAAAGCAAATGGACTTGTGTTGATCCGCGCCACCAAGCCTGCCCGGAGGGGGACGGGCGTTGACCAGCCCGCCTGCTCCTCTCTGGAAAGAAAGATGGCGGCCGCACGGGAGCCTTGTGGAAAGCGGGTTTGAGCCGGGCTCGGGGGAGCGGCGGGGACCTCATGGGAAGGGGGGCTTTGTGGGCCGTCCCCCACGCCCCACCAAGGTCGCCAGCTGCCCCCCACGAGCGGCTCTCCGGCACGGCCACGGCCCCGGAGGCACAAGGACTTAGCACAGAGAACCAGCCGCTTGGAGCAGAAAAGCAAATGGACTTGTGTTGATCCGCGCCACCAAGCCTGCCCGGAGGGGGAAGGGCGTTGACCGGCCCGCCTGCTCCTCTCTGGAAAGAAAGATGGCGGCCGCACGGGAGCCTTGTGGAAAGCGGGTTTGAGCCGGGCTCGGGGGAGCGGCGGGGACCTCATGGGAAGGGGGGCTTTGTGGGCCGTCCCCCACGCCCCACCAAGGTCGCCAGCTGCCCCCCACGAGCGGCTCTCCGGCACGGCCACGGCCCCGGAGGCACAAGGACTTAGCACAGAGAACCAGCCGCTTGGAGCAGAAAAGCAAATGGACTTGTGTTGATCCGCGCCACCAAGCCTGCCCGGAGGGGGACGGGCGTTGACCAGCCCGCCTGCTCCTCTCTGGAAAGAAAGATGGCGGCCGCACGGGAGCCTTGTGGAAAGCGGGTTTGAGCCGGGCTCGGGGGAGCGGCGGGGACCTCATGGGAAGGGGGGCTTTGTGGGCCGTCCCCCACGCCCCACCAAGGTCGCCAGCTGCCCCCCACGAGCGGCTCTCCGGCACGGCCACGGCCCCGGAGGCACAAGGACTTAGCACAGAGAACCAGCCGCTTGGAGCAGAAAAGCAAATGGACTTGTGTTGATCCGCGCCACCAAGCCTGCCCGGAGGGGGAAGGGCGTTGACCGGCCCGCCTGCTCCTCTCTGGAAAGAAAGATGGCGGCCGCACGGGAGCCTTGTGGAAAGCGGGTTTGAGCCGGGCTCGGGGGAGCGGCGGGGACCTCATGGGAAGGGGGGCTTTGTGGGCCGTCCCCCACGCCCCACCAAGGTCGCCAGCTGCCCCCCACGAGCGGCTCTCCGGCACGGCCACGACTCCAGGGCACAGAAACCAATCTCTTAACTAGCTAACTTTTAATAGAAATTCTTCCAGGGTCAATAAGTAAAATAGCAGAAATTCAAAACCGCGCGGCCGCGATAGCGGCCGCGCGACCTCATTTTATTCTTAAACCAAGTTGTAGAAAGCAAATCATTTCACAACGCTGTTTCAGCATGTCTGATTGGGGGGGGGGGGGGGGGGGTGGGTCGTAAGCTCTAAACAATAGTTGTGCATCTTCTATCGAAATAATCTATCTAGTCAAAGTAGATAGAGTATCAACTAGAACTCATCTGCCTCACAATAATTGGGAGGGGTGGGAGGTGGGGGTCTATTGGGGTTCGGGGTTAAAAATGAGTATTGGTAAAGGGAAATGTGTTCGGTATCTACATGACTGAGACCTAAACCCGAAAGCTCTGTAACTTTTCCCACAGTGATTCAATAAATAAATAAATTATATAAAAAAAAAAATAAATAAAATAAAATAAAAAAGAAAAAAGAAAAAAAAAAATATATACCAGAGACAAGAAAAAGGCTGATTCTTTCTGAGCTAAGAGTTCCTAAGAAACTGAGCTCCAGGCCTCTCCAGTACCATGTTTGATTCACACCCTCACAAATTTGGGATTTGCAGAAGAACTTAACTTCAGTGTGTCACTCACTGAAATTAGTTTACCTTAAATAGATGGGTAAAGTCAGTGAGGTTTTCTGATTTATCACATCTATTAAAAGTCAGACTTACCCTTCACTTACTTTAACAATAGGATTTCACAGTTTGAGAGTTTTCAGAACATTACTTTCAGCATATAAATGCCTCTCTATTTAGAGTCTACCTAAAGATAATATAAAAACACTGTATTTAGGGGCTGGAGTGATAGCATAGAGGGTAGGGCTTTTGCCTTGTATGCGGCCAACCCAGGTTCGATTCCCAGCATACCAAACAGTCCCCCGAGCACTGCCAGGAATAAGTCCTGAGTGCATGAGCCAGGAGTAACCCTGTGCATTGCCCGGTGTGACACATAAAGGAAAAAAAAAACCCCACTGTATTTAAATCTCATTCATGTTTGGTCTTTTTTTCCCTTTACAAAGAATGTAGAGAAAGTTAAGCTGACAGTTTCTTGTTTAGTTTTTTTTTTTTACTTTCTTGTGACTCACAACTTTCCTGTTTGAAGGTGCAGTGGAAGTCACAAGGAAATTTGAAATCCTGATTACACCACTTACAGCTAGCTTTGCCATCTTCGGTAGGCCTCTTAAAAGCCTGGAGTCTCAAATTCCAAAACTATAAAACCGGGATATAAAATAGGGATAATGAATACCTACTTTGCAGAGTTATTGTGCATAAAATGAATTAAGAAAACCACCAAACAGAATATGAACTCTAGAGAAAAGAATGGTGACTTCTCGATCTCTGTCAAAGTCTTGTTCACATGTACATGTACATGTATTTACATTCCCACACACCCCTCGCCTAAAGCAATAATAATTAACATTAGGTTGGGAGTTCAATAAACCTTTTTAAATGAACCAATACGAGTGTCCCCACTCCATTAACCTTTCTTCCATGATGATAATTGTTTGCCTCTTATCTTGTACTATTTTCTAAAGCCTTGACGAGACTCAACTTGTTCTTTTAAGCAGTCTCCTCCCTCTCCTTGGCTATGATTAACTCTACACCATTCAGACAATGCACCTTTGGGAGTAATTTCGCTAATACCACCCACTTTCCACTTCGAGTGCCACGGGGGTGGAAGGGATAGAACACAAAATTCACAGCCATGCATGCACGAGCCCACAGTCCCAGATTCGTGGTAACCGCGCCGAAGCCCTTGAAATTAGCTCTCCGGGCATGCAACTTTCCGAGGCCGCCGCACGATTCATCCTGACTCGCGTGGGGGAAACCGCCTGCTCTCAAAAGTTCATGCGTGGACTGCACTCGCCCTCCGCTCCGAACAGCCCGTCACTGAGGCTGGAGGGAGAGGTGGAAACGTGGGGGGGCCCGTGTCGCGGGAGAGCCCTCGCACCGGGCCGAGGTTTTGCTCGGAGAAAGCAGCGAGCTTCCAAGACTGGAGGGAAGTGAAGGGGCGCGGTCGCCTACGGGGCTCGGGGTTGCAGTGTTAAGTCCCCGACAAAGTAGAGGCTCGCACGGAACGGAGCGACCAGGCCCTTGGAAACGATGATTACGACCACCCTCACGCAACAGACCCCAACAGACTGCGTCGGACCCCGCCACCGCCGAAGAGAAGTCCCGGGGGTGCAAAAATAGGCGGCTCGCCCCCAACCTATAAATCAAAACCCTGGAGTCTGCTTATTGGCTGCGCCGGCATCGCCTTCGCCCTCATTGGTCATGCCGGACGTAAGACCCTCCCCACCGAGGGAACCCTTTCGTACGGCGGCACCCCCAGCCCGGCAAGCTCGAGCCGGCTTCCCAAAAGCCCGCCCCCTCCCCCCAGGTCCCAAGACCCTCGGGGCGTTTGGAGCTGTGCCCCCCGGGGACTCACCGTGTAGTAGGAGAGCAGCCCCGCGTTGTAGTCGAGCACAAACCAACGGTACTGCCAGCCTTTCATCACATTAGTCCATTTGCTCAGCGGCCCCTCCATGATGGACGCCATCTTGGGAGCCGCCAATGACAACAAACGGCCTGACGTCACTCGCCTATAAGGCACTCAGCATGCGGGGGCGGGGCCTGCGGCGCCCGGGGGCGGGGCGGGGGCGGGGCCCGCGGGAGGCGGCTCCTTGTGGTCCCGTGGACCCACGCCCCTCGAGCGCGCTTTCCTGGAGCCCGTAGCGTGGAGGACTCTGAATGCAAACTGCTATCGTCGCTATTTGTTAACAAAAATAACTTTAATAAGGCTTTCAAAGCCTTTATGCATTCATAAAGTTCGAAAGCTACTTGTTTTGCGCTAGATATTTTTAGACTTTGGGAGTCAGCTGTCAGCAGGACAGATGGAAAGACTACAAAATATACGTGAATGTATGGTATATTAAAAATTGGGAGGTGCAGCCAAGCAAATTAAGCAGGGGAAGAGTAAGTGGAGGCTATTTTAAAATCCCAAACAGAAAGCCTGAGAAAACGTCACGGGGGGGAGGGGGGCAAGGGGGCTGTTGAGGGGGTGGGTACACCAACCACACCAAGAGTGGTCAGGGCTTACTCCTGGCTGTGCTGAGGGGGAGTATGTGTGGTGCTAGTGAAGGGTACGTGCAAGGCCTTAACCTCTGTACCATCTCTCAGGCCTTGGGAACTTTTGAGCCAAGGTTTATAGAAAGTGAAGAAGCGTAGTCTGGGCAAGAAAACAAACAGCATGCATAAGGACTTTTTTTTCTCTTGAGTGGGGGTGGGGTAAGGAGAGGGCACACCCAGTGATCCCACAGGTAACTCCTGGCTCTGCACTCAGGAATTACTTCTGGCAGTGCTTGGGGGGAGACCACACGTGGTGCCAGGGATTGAGCCCTCACCGGCCACATGCAGTCAGAGTCACCCTACCCACTGCAAAGACTTTTCTAAAGGGCAAAAGAGGTCAGTATTTAGTGGGGCAGGCACTAAATACAGGATGTAAGAGGTCCAGTGCCCCAGTGGGACAGGAAAAAAAATTCCCTGCTGCTTAAGACTTTAAATTTGGTGAAAAAGCAAGCACTAAAACTATATATATGTAATATACAGATATAGCAAGAAAAATATCTATACTGATTTAAAAAAAAACTTTGCAAAGTTTTTCATTGATGTAATAGCAAACCAAAGGGAAGCTGCTTTAGATTATTGGGTGTTCATGTGAGAGTCTTGTAAAAAAAATGACATTTATTTATTTGATTTTAGGGCCACACCTTGTGTGGGGCTCAGGGAACCATATGAGGTCCTGGGGGTAGAACCCAGATTGGCCACATGCAAAGTAAACGCCCTATTCACTGTACTGTCTTTCAGGCTGGGAAATGACATTTAAAGTGAAATGTGAAGGTTAAGGGGAAGAAAAAAAAAACGGGCTGGAGCAATAGCACAGCGGGTAGGGTGTTTGCCTTGCACAAAACCCGGGTTCGATTCCCAGCATCCCACATGGTCTTCTGAACACTGCCAGAAGTAATTCCTGAGTGCAGAGCCAGGAAGAACCCCTGAGCATCGCTGGGTGTGACCCAAAAAGAAAAAAAAAGTCAACCAAGTAACATGGGTGAAGAACTAAAAAGGGAATTGGAAAGTGGAGCATTAGCTAGAAGTGGCAATGAGATCAAGGGAATAGTTACTTTTAAATGTTTTTTTTAGTTAAAAATACTTTATTTAATTACTGTTGTAAATCCTTTTTGTTGTTATTGCTGCTGCTGCTGCTGTTTGGGGGCCACTACAGTTGTTGCTCAGGGCTTAACCTGTGCTCAGGAATCACTCCTGATGGACTCAGAGGACCATGTGGGCTGCTGCGGATTTCAACCTGGTCAGCTGCTTGCAAGGCAAGCACATACCCACTGGACTGTGTCTCTGACCCCTCTCCTTCTTTCTTTCTTTTTTGGTGGGTAGGCCACACACACAGTGATGCTCAGGGGCTACTCCTAGCTCTGTGTACACAGGGTTTACTCCTGGTGTTGCTAAGGAAACAAACCCCAGTCAGTCCCATACAAGCCAATCACTTTAATTCCTCTGCTCTCTCTCTCTCTCTCTCTCACTCTTTGACCCCCATGAATCTTTTCTCTTTGCTGATAAAGAAAAAAAGCACTTAAGGAGCAAAATGGAGACTCTGCTGGCTAAGTGGGTGAAGATGGAAGATAAAATGGATCAGGCTTAATTTGTTCACTCTTCCTCATCTCCAATTATATTGAGATATAGTTGAAGCTTAATATTGTATAACCTTCAGGTATATAAGGTAATGATTTTATACATGTATATTTGACAAAATTATTACATTAGGTTTAGTGAACACCCATCTCATAATTATAATGAGAACCTATAAGATCTACTCTCAACAACTTTCAAATATATAATACAGTGTTGTCAATTACAATCATTATGCTCTACATTAAATCCTACTTATTTATCTTAGAACTGGAATTTTATACCTTTTGTGGAGCCGGCTGGGCCACACATGGTGGGTCTCAGGGATTATTCCCAGTTCAATTTGGTACTGGTTGTTTGGGGGTGATTTTTTGGGGTTTTTGTTAGGGTTTGTTGTTGTTGTTGTTGTCTTGGGGTCACAGCTAGTGTGCTCAGGATTTACTCCTGGCTCTGCACTCAGGGATCACTCCTGGCAGAGACTCAGAGGACCATATGGGATGCCAGGGATCAAACTAAGGCCAGCCACGTGCTAGCCATATATCCTACCCACCATGCAGTACATCAGATCCATCTAGTACATCCAAAATCCACATCTTCTGAAGCTTTTGATGACTGTTTCATCAAAAGGTATAAGATCTTAACTCTTAATTACCTACATCTCGAATAGTCTTAAGGACAGGTGCTTAGTATTTCCATCAGTCGTCAATTGGTGATCACCACTTGATCATCCACCTGCAGAAACTAACTTCACAGGTGGGGCTGGAGCGAGAGCCTAACAGAGTGAGCACATGCTCTGCATGCAGGAGGCCCAGTTTCTAACTCCAGCACCATACGGTCCCCAAGCACCATTAGGAGTGACCTATGAGCATGTAGCTGGTTGTAGTTCCATATGTGACCCCAAAGCAAAATAAGGAAAAGAGATGAAAAAGGTGAGAGTGACCTTTAAAGGCATTGGTTACACATTCATCCAGTAACTGCAAGATAAATGTTGGGCCACTAGGAAGGCCAGCCTGTTTCGTGATGATGTTACTTCACAGCCATCACTTTGTGACCTTAGAAACTAAAAGGAGTAGAACAAGCTGTTTCAGTATTTCACAGGCATGCGAACAGTACAGTTTGTCTCAGGAAGATATGTGTCTTATCATATCACATGACTTGTAGCAGTTTCACATGCCGAGCTGCTCTCTTGCCTGTGGCTCTTCACTGGGCTATGTGACAGTATTGTAAGTAATACTCCAAATGAACCACATAAGTCAGCTTTTAGAAATATACTGACATGGTCCAGAGACTGAGAGCTCTGAGCTTGTGCACCAGGAGCCAAGTACGCATCCCTTGCCACTGGTGAGTTCGGTTGCTGCTCTGTTCGCCTTTTAAACAACATCGAACAAACTGAGATGATTATGCAACGAGACGTTATGAACTCATTTTTGAACTGAAAACATAGGGCTGCAACCTTAGTGTGGTGAATTATGGAAGAGTTGCAGGGTCTAATAGCAGAGATGCCACGATCAGGATCGTGCTTGGCACAGTTGTCATTATGGCACGTGTTCCAAGCCACTGTTCTGTTCCTCTGAGCACTGGTCTGTAGTTTTCCTACAGTTGTCTTTTCTTACCTGGTTTTACTTTCAGGGTAATTATAATATCTTGTAAGGGGAGTTTGGAAATGTTTGCTCCTTTTCCTTTTTTTTTTCCTTTTTATTTTTTGGGGGTGTGTGTTTTTAAGTTTGAGAAGAATTAGCATTTCTTTTTCTTTGAATATTTGTTGAAAGGAACATTGAAAACAGAAACAGGAATGCTTCATACATAATAGTATAATAGTGAAGGAGAAGAACAAAACTATGGGTTGGTGAGCAGAGTATTCCACAGGTTGGTAGTTTGATGGTAAAGGGGTGAATGAGCTTCCATCAGCTTCTAGTTGAAGAGTGGCTTAAAGCTTTTTGCTTAATGATGTGTCCTTGCGCTGGAAAGATAGTTCAAAGGGTTGAGCTCACGCAAAACACACTTTGCAAGGTTTTTTTTATAAGTTTATTTATTTATTTATTTATTTTTGCCTTTTGGGTCACACCTAGCAATGCTCAGGGGTCACTCCTGGCTCTGCACTCAGGAATTACTCCTGACGGTGCTCGGGGGACCATAAGGGATGCTGGGGATCAAACCCGGGTCAGCCGCGTGCAAGGCAAATGCCCTACCCGCTGTGCTATTGCTCTGGCCCCCACACCTTGCAAGTTTTTAAGGCAAATGCCCTAACCACTATACTATCACTCCAGCCCAGTTCCTCCATCTTGAATAAGTCAGTAGTAACAAAACATTGTCTTGAGTACTGAATGAGCTCATATAGGTAAAGGACTTTAAATAGTACTTTGTAGATGATAGACACAATGTCACTGTCACTGTCACTGTCCTCCCGTTGTTCATCGATTTGCTCGAGCGGGCTCAGTAACGTCTCCATTGGAGACTTTGTTGTTACTGTGTTTGGCATATCGAATACGTCACGGGGAGCTTGCCAGGCTCTGCCATGCGGGCGAGATACTCTCGGTAGCTTGCCGGGCTCTCTGAGAGGGGCGGAGGAATCGAACTCGGGTCGGCCATGTTGGCTGCGTGCAAGGCAAACGCCCTACTGCTGTATAATTCTTAAAATTTTTCAAAGAAACGTGAAGGTTAGTGAGATAGTACAGAGGTTAAGGTGTTGGCATTGCATACAGCTGACTCTGGTTCAATATCTGGCACTTCTTGATCCCTTGAGCACTGATGGGAGCATGCCCAAAGCACAGAGTAATCTCCAAGTACCCTGGGTGTGCCACAAAAGTTTTGAAAAAAGAGTCATTTCAGAGAGAAAGTGTGAAATTGAGTAGGTTATTGGACTAT